AATTCCTTTCAACCATTGAAAACCAACCCATTTAAAATCTTAATTGCTTCACCGAATCCGTTTCTCTTATGGGCTTGGTCTGCCTGACCCCTTTTGGTTACAATATTATTATTTTTATTTTTTTATTTCATTTTCCTCTTTTATTTATTTACTAAACCCAATTGGATATCCATATGGACTCGGGCTTGGGCTAATGGAAACCAAATCCTTGACCACACCATCACCGAACCCTTCCATTATTTTTAACTTTAGAAACCTTACTAGGATTCTTATCCCAACAGACGTCATCACATCAAACATTTTCCCACCTCATATTTCATGCATTCATCATAAAATCATTAATGATATTCACATTAATCATCAAGATCACGATCTAATATCAAGAGGATGGTTTTAAATTAGTTAAATTAACTTAGAGATAAGGATTTTGAGTATAAATTACTCTTACCCTTTTAAATCTCAAGCTAAACGGCACATTTCCATGGTGATGTTGAAGCTTCTTCATCTAATCTGCACATTTTGCCACTTATATATACCTACCATTGTGAAAGGTGAGAAAGAAAATAAGGAATGGGATACACGTGGTAAACTCGGAGATAAGAGCTACCACAACCTACCTTGGTAGTGGTGGTGTTTGTAAATGTTAGAGGAGCTTCAAATTTTATGTTCCTCCACCATTCTTTGCACACACAAACACACACACACACTCTCTATCTCCACGGCTTCTTCCTCCTCCTCTCTTCTTTTTTAATCAAATGGAGACTAGGGTTTTCTTATTTCATTTTTTAAACCCTAAACCTATTTATACCTGTCCTTATTAAATATGGACTATCGAATTTGGAGAAGAAATCTTCATTGTTGATTTATTTTTTTTCATCAAAATGGAATCATTTTTGTGTTTCTCAAAATGACGTCATTTTTGAGCTTTAGGTGCCTAGCTTCAACAGTGCATCATTTTGAAGTAGATGGGCTGGGTTACTTAATTGAGTCTGGATGTTACAAATTATACTTACAATTTAAAATTCATTAAGAAGGGATTTAAGCTCCAAAAAAGTCACCAAAGTTGAGAAAAAATCTGCATGAGAAAGTCCTTCACAGGTTAGTGACAAACCTGCGAATTGCATGCCTTTTTCTCTCTATTAAAATTGATTAAACATTTTAGAGATAGCTTGCATGTAATAAAACATATTTGAAGTTCAAATCAAACCAAAATCAAGTCGTGCATACATGAAAAATGGTATGCAATTCGCAAATTTGTCACTAACCCATGAAGGACTTTTCTCATGTAGGTTTTTCCTCAACTTTAGGGATGTTTTTGGAGCTCAAATCACTACCTATTGACTTCCAAATTGTAAGTATAATTAATAGGTAACCTATAGCAAGCCAAAAGTTCATAAGTAAATTTAGTTGTAACATTTCATTCATCTATATTGAAGTAAGTAATAACATTCATATATTTCTATAAGGATTGTCATTCTTAGAACTAATTCCAACATGCTTCAACTATAA